GTGTGTGTGAGAGTGAGTGTGTGTGTGTGTGTGAGGTGTGTGTGTGTGTGAGAGTGAGTGTGTGTGTGTGTGTGAGGTGTGTGTGAGTGAGTAAATGAGTGTGTGTGTGTGTGTGTGTGTCAGGTGAGTGTGTGTGTATGTGTGTGTGAGAGAGAGTGAGTGTGTGAGTGAGTGAGGTGTGAGTGAGGTGAGTGTGTGTTTTTGATGTGTGATGTGATCCAGAGCAACTCGGGTTGTGTTGTTGTTGTTGTTCTGTGGAGTCAGACACGTGCTCGTGATGGAGCCTGACTCTCTCACACAGAGTCTGAAGGGTCTTTGTGCTTGGTTTTGTAGGCCAGGATTAAGAAGATCATGCAGACGGATGAAGAAATCGGCAAGGTCGCCGCCGCAGTGCCTGTCATCATCTGTATCCTTCGACTCTCAGCCAGAAGGTCATGGTGTGCTGTAAGCCTCGAAGGGTCTTTTGTAGTTTTAAGTGCTTTATGAAATGCAGGTTGTTGCAGGGCAGCTTCAGTTTAAGGAGTAGTTCAGCCAAAAATAAAAATGTGATCACCCTCAGATCATCTGAGATCAGGTTTGGAGAAATGTAGCATTGCATCAGTGTCTCACTGCAAGTGAATGGGTGCCGTCAGAATGAGAGTCCAAACAGCTGATAAAAACATCACAATAATCCACAGCACTTCAGTCCATCAGTTAACATCTGGAGAAGACAAAAGCTGAAACACATCCAGCATTAAGACGTTTTTAACTCAAATACATAAGTCTATAATCCATAATAACTCTTCCTCCAGTGAAAAAGTCCATCTGTTGTCTCTCACATATGTGTTTAGAGCCGTTTAAACGCTGCTTGATCTGTGCAGATTTCTCTCCTGATTCGGACCAGAGCATCTGTCAAATGCACGAGTGTGAATGTGGAGTGTTTTTGGTCTCGTCATATCTGCTTTTTCCTTGACTGTGATCTGAGCTCGTGCTCTTGAGCTCTTCCTGGAGTCTCTGCTGACGAAAGCGTGTCACGTCACACAGTCACGCAACGCCAAAACCATGACCACCTCACACCTGTGAGTCGCCACCGGCGTTCGTGTGTCATTAGAGCGTGAGCGTGTGCGTGTCCTCATGTGTGCGTGTCTGTGTGTGTGTGCAGGAAGCAGTGCATAGAGCTGGAGCAGCAGTTCGACTTCCTGAAGGATCTGGTGGCGGCGGTGCCTGACATGCAGGGCGAGGGAGAGGAGAACCACACGGAGGGAGAGAAGATCCCGCGCAGGTCAGACACGCAGTCTGAAGCACGCATGTGAGTGTGCGTGTGCTTGAGTGTGTGAGCGAGCGTGCGTGAGCGAGTGTGCGTAAGTGAGTGAGCGAGTGAGTGTGCGCGAGTGAGAGAGCGAAGTGTGTGTGTGTGTGTGTCTGTTACAGCTGAAGTGTGTGTGTGTGTGTGTGTGTGTGTGTGGTTACAGCTGAAGTGTGTGTGTGTGTGTGTGTTTACAGCTGAGGTGGGTGTGTGTGTGTGTGTGTGTGTGCGGTTCTACGTGTGAGTGCGTGTGTGTGAGTGTGCACAGGTGAGTGTGTGTGTGTGTGTGTATGTGTGTATGTGTGTGTGTGAGAGAGAGA